GAATATGTGTATGTAGATTCATTTCATGTTGTAGATGTGCAATAAGAAATTCTAACATTTTCATTTCTAGACGCGTTTTGCTAACACTGTCGCTTCATCAGTAGTGATAAATAGTACAGACTACAATTCTTATATACAACAGTAAGTTTACTTGTTTGAAGGTGATTGACAATGTTTCATGATCATCAGTACACTAGGAAACTGTCATGCAAGACAATTGTACTTGCTAACAAACCCAGAAGCAATATACACCCATATATAGGTTATTTCATTAAGTGCTTCCCATTGTTAAATTAAAACTCATCTATTCGTTTGAAAGGCCTATTGGTCGGGTGTTGGTCGATCGTTTACTGAACCAGTGTACCCAAATTTATCGGCTACACTGCGAATAGTCCTCTTGGTAAGACGATTATGGCGAAGTGCGCGGTACGTTGCCTGAACAAAACACCCATTTTGATAAAACAATTTTATTACTCGCACATGTCGTTGAATGCTTTATCCGTCCATTGAGTAAGTAGGTATGTTCTCACTGGTGATTACGTGGGGTATGTGAAAATTAGAGTAAAGAATTAGGAAAGAACAACTGTGATAGCGAAACATGTGATATTTTTGAAAATAAAGTTTGTTAAGATCAAATCGTTGGATGTAGTTTGTGAAATTACTATGGATGTTATGATAACATAAAAAGAGAATAATTGAATAAAAGGAAAGTACAAGTAAATGTTAATGGTAAATGTAAAAATATAAATATCCACTATTATATAATATAACTTCTGACTTTTCATTTCAATTCATGAAAATAGTATGAAGTATTATTGATGCCTAAACTTATTAATAGTTTTTACCATATTTCCCGCGAACTACTAACAATAAAGGACAAGTAAGTGGTATTTTCAAAAAAGTAGTTGAATGACCTTTAATATGATCATCTCTCAACCCCCTTTTCACTCAACATTTTAAGGGTTGTGTCCACTCCAGCTAGAGGGTAGAGGTAATTTAATTGAAAAACTAGCCCACAAAATATCACAAATTTTGATAACGAGAACTTTCCATCAGGTTTGCAATGCTTTCTTAAGCCGGAACAGATTGGAGTCTTATTGAAACAGATAAAGTTCCGTATTATATCATAGAAAATAATCGAAATAACGACAAGAGTGGGTTTTCAAACGACTGATCGAATTGTAACCTATTTTCAATATTATCAATCTCAATTCCATCTTACAATAATTTGTTTATTTTACAAACTACCATTTCTATACTCTGGAATTTCATACTCTTCGATTTTCTCTTTCTCATATATTCGATATCATTCTCAATATTTTAAAAGTAAGTACTCTAAATATTTTGTACTTGTGATGCACGGTTTGGAACAGATTAGTAATGAATATGACTGGAGTTTTTTCCCAACACTAAACCGTTATTTTAACACCTAGACACGTGATCCTCTTCCTCTTGATCACCAAGTGATCATCTTCAAGAGGAAGATTAAACGACATTTAAAATACTATTTTTAGGCAAAAAAAAATCCAACTTTTGATATTCACATAATTGAATGTATAAAGGGTTACTCTGTTTATAAAGATGAATAACGGGGGTTGTCGTTAATATTCCTTGAAAGACAGTTGAAATTTATCAACAGATCTTTCACGGTCAATATTCTCGGGAGATATAATCGAATCTAAGGGTTGGGGCTGACTTTAGAAAAATAACAGTGAAGGTTGATTAAAAACCACTATTTTTGATATTCATCAAGATCCTTTTACCATCAGTACACTAGGAAACTGTCATGCAAGACAACTGTAGTTGCTAACAAACCCAGAAGCAATATACACCCATATATAAGTTATTTCATTAAGTGCTTTCCATTGTTAAATTAAAACTCATCTATTCGTTTGAAAGGCCTATTGGTCGGGTGTTGGTCGATCGTTTACTGAACCAGTGTACCCAAATTTATCGGCTACACTGCGAATAGTCCTCTTGGTAAGACGATTATGGCGAAGTGCGCGGTACGTTGCCTGAACAAAACACCCATTTTGATAAAACAATTTTATTACTCGCACATGTCGTTGAATGCTTTATCCGTCCATTGAGTAAGTAGGTATGTTCTCACTGGTGATTACGTGGGGTATGTGAAAATTAGAGTAAAGAATTAGGAAAGAACAACTGTGATAGCGAAACATGTGATATTTTTGAAAATAAAGTTTGTTAAGATCAAATCGTTGGATGTAGTTTGTGAAATTACTATGGATGTTCATTAATTATTGAATATTTATTATTTTTGTACAAACCATTGAATAAAAACTAAATCTGAGATGGGTTTTGTTTGCTGATCTTGAGGGTACACCTAACCTTCTGAACCTAACCGAATAATTTGTGTCAAAAAATGCATTTCATTGAACTATTTTGAAATTTTCAGTTTTAGGTGATATTCAGGAGTTTGGCAACATCTCTTTTCCAGATTGAATTCATATATTAACATTTGCCATGCTGCTCAACAGACTTTGAATTATGACCGACCTGAATCTTTGAGCAGGGGAAACATGAGTTGTTTTTCTTTACTGGAACAGAACACGTTTTTGTTCACAAATCACCTACCTTTAAACACATATTGTATATTGTAATTGTACAAAACTAATGAATCGTGGACACAAAATCCTATGTTCATTGATTTATCAAAGGGTGAACGTACACAAGTTTTGAGATGGTAGCGGAATTGATATTTAAAGTATTTTATCGTGCCATTACTTCCTAGAATATCATTTCATTTCATGTTGTCATGTTCGGTGCCTGAAACAAATAACCCACAAACACACAAAGAATAAGTTTTACTATGCAATTAGTAAAGGTCTCGTTCCATTTATTTATTCAGGAGCAGAAAATATTTCATACATATGGGTACGTTTAAATTTATTTCACTCCCTATATGATGACCATGACTGATTTAAAACGTTACATTTCATAATCGTAAATTCAGTAATCTAGGCCAGTGTGATAAACAAACTGGACACAAAATGGGAACACTCATAGATAAAATATAGGGTACGTATTATGTTTCATAAGTTTTCAATTACGGAGTACAAGCATTCATAATTTTATAATGAAATTATATGAGCAGTATTTTAAATGAAAATCGGCATGTTTGTTGACAAACAATATTAAATTAACAATTTCAACAATAAAAAGTATATAGTAATTGACGGAGTTAAAAAGTTGAAATGAACTGAATTTTACTCCATTACTTATTTCATTAGGTAGCTAGTTACATTTATCAAAGCATTCATTGAAGTCTGTTCGATTTACCTTTGAATAAAAGTATTTGAGTTGTTTCTGATAGAGTAGGAGTGCATTCAAAAGTTAAATGTGATCCAATGATCACTTGCCCCTCAGTGTGGGGAGTGGTCATTGGTAGATAATGGTGGCGCGTCATCCCGAATGTGTCGGGGATATGGTCCAACTAGCGCAGCCTCAGAAAAAAATATAATAATAGGTCTGTCTTTATATACAAAAAATATAAACGTGTATATATAGTACATAAGACTGTTTGGAACCTTTGGTGTAGAAATGAATGTTACTGGAGTTTAATCATAACACTTAACCTTTATTTTCAACACCTTGACACGTGTATCAATCACCAAGTGTCGAGATGTTAAAAATAACGGTTTAGAGTTGGAATTAGACTTCAGTAATATTCGTTAAAAATACCTTAAAATACAAGAATGAAAAATAAAAGTCAGTGAAGACATTAAAGCCAGAGGATGTAGTGCAGTGGGTAATAATCTTCTTTATTATCAGTTACGGCCCTAATATTGAAATATATTTTTTATTCGGACTAATAAAAAACACGTGTTGTAGGTTCAAAAACACTTGAATAAGTATCATAAATACATTTGCCAGTTATCACGCAAACATCTACATACGTAGATGTCTTTACTTTTAATCTGTTGGTGACTTGTCTTGAAAAATTCATATGTTGACTTACTAACAACCGTCCTCAAAGATGAAACGTGGATGTTGTGGTCAGAGTGGAGTCCAAAAGTGAGGTGCTTTTCAAGAAATAAAGTCAATTTCGAATGAATATCGAAGTGAAAGAAGACTAGCGGCTGCTACGCCAGTAACCAGGCTGGATGTCGACGGATTCGACGAGGTCATCATTTCGATAATAGTCATTGTGAAAGTCATATTGAGAGGACTGGCAGCCCCCTAGTAACAAATGAAGTGTTTCGACAAAGAAAAAGTGAGTTAGAAAACTTACGGTGGCAGCATTGCCTCAAGAAAGACAGCTGCGCACCCAGACGATGCTTCTGTTCACTATGGACAGGAAGTCTGACCAAATGCGCTTGACTGAGGAGCAACGGTCATATAAATCAAAGAAGAAGAAGCTAACTTCAGGGTATCGGTTTATCTTGACGGTTTGTGCACGCATCGTAAACATTTATTCTCATCATTTTTCCCTAACGCGCAAAAAAAGCCTGATTGTTTACGAACAATAAGCTGGTATTGATCTTAAACTGTAAATAATTTTATCTCTTCTAATTCAAATTTACTGAAATAAGTTGAATATTTCAGAAACCAATGAATAATACAAGTTCATATTAAAGAAACACTTTAATGCGAGATTTTCGCTACACAGTTTACGAAACCGCAACACGTGTTTCGCTATATAATAGCTTCTTCAGACATGCCTATATTAAATTCACGATTTACTTCAAAAGTACACTGTGCAACTATTAATTTCAAGACCAAATCTGAAGGTGAAATATTAAAAAATATAACGTTGCCATCTGTTCTTACTGGGCTAAAAGATATCCAAACCCGCCACTTCAACCGGCACAGAAAGAGAGAGACAAACATAATACATCAGATCAGCTGCAAGAACGTTTACTCGAAAGTTGTAACTAGTTAACGCGATACGAAATCTTTATTGGCGGGATAATCGTCGATAAGAAAAAAGTTAGCCTGAGATTCGCTCAAAACAATAAACCAGCGTGATATATCTAACAGACAATATATTATCTTTCAGTGTGTGAGTGCGTGCGATCCCCATATTAGTTGGTACATCGGATTAAAAAGTGTTGGTGTCTGTCAGTTGTTTTGATTTTCTGAACTGGTCGAGTCTGAGATTATCATTCTCGACGCCTCCGATTCAACGGTTTGAAGTTACTCTTATAAGGAGAACACTGGGTCACTGAAACGAGTGTGAGTATAGTTAGTATGTCTGTGGGAGTGCAGAATGGTGAGCAAAGATCTGCTTGAGGAGTTTGGCGTTTTCTCCAAGAAGTTTTGGCAAAAAAATGATAGAGTAAATCGGCAGTTTTATATATAATAACATAACTAAAAAATTCGCGTCTGAGAAAAGTCAGATGTTTTTATTGTACTTTCGCCTCTCCATTCACATTATGTAATACCTAGTCACCTCCATATTATCGACATTTTCAAGCATATATACCACTCGCAAATTATTTTCTCGAATTCCAAACATTTTTCCGCCAGAATTGTTTACACTCAACATGATGTGTTTTTTATCTCCTTTCGATCTGAATATTTTACACAGCCTCTCAATTCATTGAAGAATGCTGATTGTACCATTTAATAATCATGAATGAAAAATAAATTCACCACTCGAAACAATTTTTATCAATATACCTACTTCAATATTACTGAATCCAAAAACTTCTGATCGTCTGATCTGAAAATGTCAATTCAATACACTTGACTCACGTGATAAATTTTCTCCCTTTTAGTTCACAAATCTTTACCCACTTTTGCAAAACATACTCTTTAACTGATTTGATTTACAAATAGAAAACTTGCTAGTATTATATTATTTAGAGACATTTGTACATTGGGTCCTTCTGTGGCATTTTCTAGATCAATCAGGGCAGGGCCATAATCCTCCTTCTAAAATCCTTTGTTTGGTGTTGATCAGTTTCGTGGAATCTATGGTGAGAGTTGAAGTTACCTCAACATCAAAATGTTTCTTTTATATTTATTCACCATATGTATCTGATTGAATTTGTTCCTTCCTTCATTTCAAACCGCGAAAAAAACGATTGCGACTCGAGCCGAGATCCAAAGAATAGCTGTTGGAGGTGTCCAAGCACTTTCTGTTTGTGATGTGTAATTTTTATGATCCCGATAGTAAACCTGTTTGTTTCAGTTATAAAGGTCTTTTTGCACCAAAGTTAGGAGTTTAGGTTATCAATATAAAGTAAATAACATTGAATTAGATTTTAGTTGAGATTGAGTTCAACTAAAAATTGAATTTTTCAATTTCAGATTTTCTGGCCTTCACAATATCATCACTATCAATACTATACCCTATATCGATATATGGTGAGATCTCCGATATCTCGGAGATCTCACCAAAATTGCCTTTTGGGTCATTATATATAGTTCCTCATATCTAAACCTGTGTGGACTCAATGTTATCTAATTCAGGGTAGTGTTAATTTGAAGGACATCCTAGGATTCTAAATCCAAAAAATATCAATTTATTACCAAATGAATTTACATAAATCTTTACTCAGCTATAGGGTTTGATCTTTTCAGTTATTACATCACCATCACCACCACCACCACCACCTACTACATTATAATTCAATTATTTACTCAAATAATGTTTGTTATGTGGAATACCTACAAGAAGTACATCTAAGGCATTCCAAGGTAAACCAAATATAGCCGCTATATATGAGTCAAGTGTTTTACAAAAGTAAAGTAAATCACAAAAGTAAATCTTCAAAACCAATTTCATTACCTTATTCACTGTGTTGATACGTGTTTTTGATGGTTCTCAGTTTCTCCTTAAACTGGGTGACGCTCAACAATCAACATAGCCACCTAGAAGAGGTATCTATGGTACAAATAAGAATAACAGTGTACGTACCTTTAGTTTAATCTTTCTCTTGAATATGATCACTTGATGATCGAAACACGGTTTGGTGTCGGGATAAAACTCCAATAATAGCCACTCGCATATTCAATATTTTTCTTACCAATTACAAAAGAAACAAAACCTGCTCCTAAAAGAAACTGTGCTACCATCCGCCTTGTTATAAGTACCAACTACTGTTAGTGTATCCAATTCAGACTTCATCTCTATCAGGATTTCTTTGGAGGATTAAGTTTATTTTGAGATCCCTCGTAAATATAAAGTCCGTGCTATCTGAATAGGGACACTACCTCTCGTGAATTTCATTACAAAAGATTTTCAGAAATACCTTCTCACCCTCTAACAATCAATGATAAAAACGTAGAAATTATGAATGAGAGTAAAGGGCAATTCTTTAAGATTCTCAACATATATCAAGTTTTACCGAATAAGTTTTGGCCCTAATGAGGCAGACAATTCCTAAACCTATTCGGGAATAGGGATCCTCTTCTGACATTACAAAGTGTACTTATAAGGTCCTCTTTAGAGTTTCCGAGAGGAACTCTAATCTGCAAATGGATTTGAAAACATTTTATGACACGTTTATTTCTTATCTGATATTACTTGAGCTGAAGATTGATAATAAATTGTGACAACTGAGTGGCCGATAACAGTTTGGTATAACACGTAACATAATTTTGGAAAGTATTATAATTTTCCATCGGGTATATCAACCTTATCTGAATTGTGCAATGTTTATATACATACGCCTTCACTAAACCTTGTCCCAAGATTCAAACGAACAATTTTAATCGGATTGCCTTACTTAGTACTTTCACCAGTATGGTAGTTTCATGAACTTATCGATCGAATAATTGTTGTTGTTGGTGCTTACAGATCAATCGCGAAATTAGTGTAGGGTACGCCCGCAGCTGTTTGTTTGTGAAAAAGTAAGTTAAACAATTAGTGTAATTGTTACTGTTTTTCAATTGACTAGAAATTATGAAGTATGGAATTTCAATACGTGTAAATCCAAAGTGTGTTGAGGGCAGTTGAAGTTCTATGAACGAACATTTTTTAATACTATCTTGAATCCTTTATTTTGAAATTTGATTCAACATAACAACTCGGGTCTTTTTCATAATGTTGTTAGCTTTGATCCAGCAAATTGCTAAAAACGACTCTCCCCATTACGAAGACTTAACAGATTGTCTCTGGTCTGGATTCCCGGCCATACTGGCCTGGAAGGCAACGAGGCTGCTAACTCCCTTGCAAAGGAGGGTGTTGCAAGCAGCTTCATCGGACCAGAACCTGTCATTGACATCACTTTAGGCTTTGCCAAACAAACATTGAACACCTGGATGGCAAGAAGATTTATGGACTTCTTGCAGAATCTTCCAGGATTGGCTCACTCCAAGGCGTTTATTCACCCTTCGAAGCTTGATACCAAACAGTTGTTGGACTACAATAGGGATGAACTACGATGTCTAACAGGACTTCTTACAGGTCACGGTCATTTGAATCAACATATGCAGAGACTCGGACTATCGAAAGACAGTGTGTGTCGCCTCTGTTCGTAAAATGATGAAACAGCAGAGCACATACTTTGTGCCTGATCCACTGGGGACCGAATCAGATTTTTAGAGTTCGGCAGAGCCGTACTCTTACCATCTGGCCTGAAAGACCACTCATCATACAAACCGGCTTCGTTAAGAAGCTGGGTTTATTTGGTCGAGTGTGAATAGGTGTGAGCTACAATAAACCCTTGCGGGTTGCGATGGAGGGTCGAATATACCCACTCACTTTGGACCTAACCTAAACTAGCTTTGATCCGAACGGAGAGGGAATGATGAAGATGACTTTCAAAAAAATACATTTTCAAGGGTTTCTTGAAATATATTGAAACCATCAATCTTCATTTCGGGAAAAAAAAAAACAAATATTAAATTCAAAGATATTCTTGCAGATTAAATACTGAGTGAAAAGTAGTTATTCAAAATCAAAACCAAGAAATTATCTAACACGATTGCATCTGTTCTTCAGTTGTATTGGCCGGAGTTTGGAAAATTATTAATTCAAATGAATTGGTCATTATGTTATCTTCAGCCCCCCATTTATGTAAAACAATACAGTTATTTTCTCAGCATTTTGCACAAATCAAATAAGAATTTGGTGACAGATTTTCAGATCAGTCTCCATCTTCGGTTGATCAACATATTGAAGACTTTCCAGGTCGCTATCTTCAGCCCATGAGATTTTGAGGATAGCAATTATCTTCTGTATCTGTAGAGTAGGGAGGGTGAGTGTATGCCCACAGCACTTAGGCCACATGTGACCCATTGTACATCCTCCCGAGGAGTTGTCCTTCTAGGTCATCGTCCATCCTGTCCTTTCCAGGAAGGTGGACAGGTCACTGGGAGACATCTCCTTTATATTGGCAGGTGTAGGCCAAGACTCATCGAACAACACACTCTCTTATTGAGTGATAACTCCGGGCACTCGCACAGGACATGCCTGACAATCTCAATCCCCATATTATGGAGGTGTTTCCTTAGTTGACAGTGGCCAGTCAGAAATCCTACTATAAGGCGCCAGCTTCCCAGGGTCGCCTAAGGTGATCCTGGCAAGATTACATCCTTTGATTCCATTCCATCCCTTTAAGGATTTAGCATGGGTGTAACATTTGACGAGTTTCGCGATTGTCGCAGTCATCAAGCCGTAGGTGCTACTGGGTCCTAAAATTCTTGGTCCAGCCGCTTCCTTGGCTATAGAGAGTCGGCAATGCGATTACCTTTACTTCTGTCATGCCCTTTAACCCACCTCAGGATAATGTTATTATCTACCGAGGCTTTGGCTAAATCTTGGTAACACTCTAGTACTAGCCTATACGTTGTCTGTTCAAGGCTAATAGGGTTTGTCTGCTATCCGTGCAGATTGTTATGTTTTTGCCAGAAAGTCCTTTCTTGGTTATTTCTTTTGTGGCAATTGAGATACCAGCCAGTTCTGTTTGGACCACGCTGGTATTTCTTCCCATTCCCCATTTAATTCTTAGGCTTAGTGATCTGGAGTACACTCCACACCGTGAGCCTTCTTTGGTTTTTGAGCCGTCTGTATTAGCAATTGTCTTATTAGTGTCAAGGTTCTCGGTACGTAAGGTGCAATGACTCGTTCTTATGCAACACATTCCAAGTTGCAAACGATTTAATAACTTGACGTTAACGACCTATTGCAATCTAATATGAACGAGTAACGAGATTTAAAAAAAAGAGTAATAAAATAATAATTCTTTATTATCTTTCAAATTCACTTTCACATTCAAGATGTTAGTTACTGTGAGAAAAGGAAAACCTTCGCTTGACAAATTTTGACACTGAGAATTTCAATTCCTTTACTTATATTGAACATTATTATTGAAAGTAGTAATTGAAATAACGACAATGGAAAACGCTTTTATCAACCATTAAAATTTACAATGGAAATTTGGACTAAAGTAGAACTGTAAACATCAATCGCAGCAGGTTTATGATATCCTAATCTGAGCTTGCCTCACTTCTTAAACCTGTACAAATAGCTGTTATCACTGAATTCCGAAACAAATTTATTGTTTCGTTGATTTGTTCATGAACATATCGTTGTTAATGAAATATATGAGCCCATTTTATCGTTTTACGATGTTACAGATTTTATCTCTCAGAATTAGGCTGTCAATTCCATCTTTCCTCACGCTCTATTGGTAAATGTGTGAAATAATGATTGTCGATAATGAGTCAAAACAAATCACATTTATTTTCCACTTCTATTATTTCAGTTGTTACTATCGTGACTATAATACAACTGATTGAATATGGACGAACCAGTCGTCCATCACTATATTTTTCAAAAAATGTGGTATCAAGATTTGAAGTTTCTTACAAACACTTTTATGTAAATGCAGTACATGCCAGAAGCAATTGTCATTTTGTGATTATAGGTGAAATAAAATTTGTTATTCATCCTATGAATACGAAAATGAACGGCACCAAGCAGTTAGATGGTGAAATCACAGAACATGTGAATGCTTATGGCTCGTATATAAATTTGTTTTGGAATACTCATGACATTTCATTCGTAGAAAAAAGTCAAATGAAGTTGATGATTCAATTTTATTCAGTCAATGATACTGGCAGATCTGCTGAAATATGTTTTTTCAACTTGCAAAAGTTGAAACTTGTGCGAGCTGAGGACCAACAAGATCTTACCTTGCAACGTGTGATTCCTAACACAGGATGGACGATAGAAAATGAAAATCGATCGTCCGGCCTGAGGTTCGAACCACCGGTTCGCACAGCGGTCGATTGACTGAGTCGAGCTGATCACCCACCTCTACCCACCAGGCTACCGTCCTGCCATTAAAAAAAGCAGGTGTGCTTACATATAATTATTTTCTACAAATATTCAAATCGATTATGTGTATTCATTGATAAATTAACATTTTGAATAATTTTTTTTCGTTTATTATTTTCAGTGTTAGGAATCACACGTTAAAAGGTAAGATCTCGTTAATCCTTAGCTCGCACAAGTTTTGACTTCTGAGGGTTGTCGTTCGTAGGGGTGCGACAGCTGGTTAACGGAAAAACAGATTTTTTTAAACAGATTATCGGATACATCAGTAATTACTGTGGTTGAATATAAGACCGAGACAATATGCTTATGGTATGAGAAATAAGATACAGATGTTTTCAAACGAAAATTAGAAAGATATTTAGTGAAAACTGCATCGATTGATATTCCATGTCTTGTGGTAGGCTCATTTTGGTTATTATTCATTTGTAGTTCTAATTTATCTTGTAGAAAGTTCACCAAGAGTTGTCCACCTTCGGACGCGAAACTGACATTGAAATCTCCTGCTAAAATTAGGGGCAACGTATGATGGTTTTCTTCTAATTCTTCAGAGCCTACTCGACCGTGAATGTGTGCTCGTACCTTCCTCTATCTTGACCCTACAGTAATACACGAAACTCCCTCTTTCAATTTTCACTAACTTCGTTCGCCTCGCCCGATCACACTTTTCGTAACGCTCTCGTCATGCATTCACCAGCTCACTTCTCAAGTCAAGCGCACTATTTTTTCAAAATAGTCTTCCTTGTTGAAAGAAAAGCTGAACTTGAAAGTTGGGAAATATCACATTATAAAAAATCGAACAAATGTGCATATATTTTTCTGTAGAAAAACACAATGAACCGTGGAGAAAAAAAAGAGAACATCCAAATGCTCGGAATGCAATTTATTCAGATTCTCGAAATCGCTGAGTTTATCTTGTATTATTTTCGAATTGATTCGCGTAAATTTTTCTCTCAATCTAGTCTATTGTGCAGCATTTGTAAATCCACCTTTTGGGAAAAGTTCGTTTACAGAAGATCAAATTTCAATTGAAAAATATAAGGCGAAGCTCCATCAAGTTGATACAATCTATTGTCTTGTCATTGATTGTTGGATTGCAGTAGATAAGAAAAATACCTGTTGAACGTGAACACAATCCCTATTCTACAACAATTTTTGGGAAACAGCTATTTCATGAAAAACGAATTGACCTCTTTCAGAATTTTCCTTAAAATATTAGGAGCACTGAAAATCATGTATTCATTACCAGTGAAATGAACTGTATAACCCTTGCAGTAATTCATTATTTGTATCACCAACTACAAAATTTGAGAAAGGAGGATGATGGAAATGCCTATCACAGAGGTGGGATTTTATACTTGTATTTAATGCAGAAAGTAAAAAAGGTGGTATGGTAAACATTGATGTGATTTGAACAAATAAGAGAATACGGAAAAAACTATATCGGGTAATCTCTTCCAAAAATTACATATTTTGTTGTACTCCTAGTACACTTCACCGGGTGAAAACTTGGTCGAAAAGCAGAATCGGTGCGGATTGTCTGTCCAGCTTGAGTCCTCTGTATGTCCACAGAAATAGAGTAAATTTAAGAAAATGTATTTGACATATCCGGAAAAAAGGAAAGCAATTTAAGTTTGTTTGGGCTGGCTAATAATGTATTTTTGCCTCAGTATTTTGTATATTTCCCAGGGGAGACTAACCCATCATAAACAGTGCGTGTGACGGCGAAAGAACTAGGCGTCAGCTCTCATACATTTTTCGATGGTTTAAAACGTATTGGAAAGTTCAAGAATCCCAAAAAGTGGATATCCCAAGATGTGAACGATCGACAGAAATTGTCACGTTTCGAGGTATGTTCTTTTTTGCTTTTGCGCAACCAAAACGATCTCTTTTGGGAACGGATCGTTACGTGTGATGAAAAGTGGAGACGTTTAGGAAAGTGGTTGGACACCCATGAGCTACCCCAGCACTTTCCAAAGACAAAAACCCACCAAAAAAGACCATGGTTGCCATATTGTGGTCAGCTGCAGTTGTGATTTTCTATAACTTTCTGCAACCGGGACACACCATCACAGCAGAGTCCTATTGTGAGGAAATCGAACGAAATGTACCGAAATTTGCATCAGAAACAGCCAGCACTGGTCAACAGATGCGGTCCGATCCTGCTCCACGACAACGCCTGTCTGCACGTTTCACAAATTACTGTCCGAAAGTTAAACGAATTGAGCGTCGAAGTTCTGTCTCACCCACTATACTCCACAGACCACTCGTCAACCGACTACCATCATTTTATAAATACTTCGATAATTCTCTCACCGGTAGAACATTTGCCAATCAGGACCAGGATAAAACGGCCTTCGTCGACTTCATCGAATCCCGAGTAAACAATTTTTATGCTGACGGAATTAATAGACAAGTGTTACGCTGGAAAATGGCATTAATTGAAATAGCTCTTAGCGCCCTTTCGATTTCAAATATTTCACAAATAAATAACACGGAAAACCAATAAACGTGGCAACATTCGCTTTCAATACCTCGACCTCGATCAGTTGTGAATCCCATATCGCTCGTTGTCTAATGCGAATGTGATCATTTTCCAAGAGATTACACATTGATTGTATCTCGGCTTGGCACTCGTGGCAGTAGTAGTAGTCTGGTTTGGTATTGTTACTTTGACGAATAAACAGTTTGTCGAGTAGATTATCGAAAGTTACGCGAAAAGAAGAAGTTAAAATATGCTGCTACAATAAAATTTTTGTAAAACTTTCAATTCGTAAGTTCTTAATTTTCAGTTGAAGATCCGAAATCGTATTTATTATGGAAACAAAAGAACAATTAATTCGAATTCAAAGTTGTGCAGAGGAATCGGTTCCAAATAAACCTGACGCTACGCAGAGTACGGTCAGTACGGAGTCAACATTTCTTGATGTTCCATTTATATCAACCTACAAAGTACGAACAAAATCCGATGTTTCATTAGGTTTTGCTGACTTAACATTTACGGAAGTGTTAGGAATCACACGTTAAGAGGTAAGACCTCGTTAATCCTTAGCTCGCACACGTTTCGACTTCTGAGGGTTGTCGTTCGTAGGGGTGCGTCAAACTGGTTAACGGAAAAACAGATTATTTTTTTAAACAGATTTTAATTCGGAAATGGATAGTGATAGTACTCAAGAACGAGACCATTCTGATAAGATGTCTACTGAGAATGAAGGTGGAAAAAACCTTTTGTTTTTACATGGACCATTTTATAATTAATATTTCAATTTTTATTCAAAAATACTATTTTGATCCTAACTAATTCTAAAATGACTTTGCCAACCTGTGTTATCAGATGACTTTAACACTTTCCACTTTCCAATTACTGAAAATTTCACGTTTCTTGGTACAAACTCAAAAAAACGACTTTTGGACAGCGCAGCATACGTGTATGGTTAGTTTACTCTCCAAGAGTTAATAAAATGTTTTGTTTTGTATGCTGGCTTTTTGATAGTGCGCATTGTTTATTATTGAAATATTTCTTTTATTAGAGTTTTTTGATATTATTTCTTTTCTTAATGGGAAATACAGTATTACTTCAAGTACCTGTGCCTTCTCACTGAATCTTGGCGCCTTGTTATGGTGTGCCCCCCCTCCCCTCCTTAAGTTTTAGGATCGCCACAGCAAACAGCGCTTATTTATTCACTCAGAGTATTCACTGATATATTACAGTTTAAAGTAGACTCATGAAAACAGACAAATCTTCTGAAAAAAACCTAGTACCTAATCGTCTAATTGTCCTGAAGTATTTGCACAATATTCTGTATTTTTCGTATTTTCAGTGTCACTACTTCTAGGTCTATATTTGATTCTAATATCATTTTCAGATAGGACCATGGCTCACCGGCACCATAACTTCGACGTGGTCGACGTCGATAATGACGATAGGCCCAACAGGAACAAATGCTACGGGTGTTTGAAACAAAACACACTCACTATAGCCACAGTGACAGGAGTGATTCTGGGAGCAATCGTTGGAATCGTACTTAGATCGTCAAAAGACAATTGGACGGATCGAGAGATTATGTACATAGGCTACGTCGGGGACGTATTCCTGCGGATGCTCAAATCCCTGATTTTGCCTTTAATAATATCTTCTTTGGTGTCCGCCATTGCTAGCTTAGATTTATCGTTATCGAGTAAGATTGCTGCGAGAGCCATAGCCTACTATCTGACAACGACTTTTGCCGCTGTTGTCTTGGGAATGATAGTGGTTGTTACTATCAGACCTGGGGTAGGACACGAAGAAGATAACAGCATGAAATCGGAGGTCGCAGCACGAAATGTCCTTACGAGTGATACCCTTTTGGATTTGGTCAGGTTAGTGGGCAGTTTAAAATTACTAAAATAACTTTTCTATAGTCCGTTCATAATTTGTCGATAGCACAAAATGAGGGCCCAAGTCATAAAACGGTCGTAAAACTCGTAAAATCATAGGCGGAGGTTCCTGAGGTGTTTATTCATTAAATATAAAGCTTCAGTTTATATTCGAAACTTGCCTTGAAAGGGTGAAGTTGTTACGAACGAAAATAATTTTTGGTTTAGTACATTTTTTAATCGCATTTAATTTACGGCTCGTTGGTGTTTCGGCGTCTACGGCAGTAATTAACGTCTCTAATATTTATTTTGCGAATTTTGTGCAGTGCGTGAGTAACTTTTTTTCATATTCCTACAAACATATACGTACCTTTCGTTCCTGCTTGTTTTGTTTGATTGCTTGCGATGGCTTCGTCATCATCATCAACATNATTTATTTAAAGTAACTAATGTTTTAATCATATACTCTACGACACTGGTCACTCATTTCCACTCAAAATACCTACATAATCGGATTAAAAGTTTTATAGCTGTATTGTATTTCTTCAGATACAAGGTGGGTTAGTCGAAAACATCTTAAACTGCCAGTTTTAGTTTGGTTTTTGTTATTATATCATATTAGCTGTCCTCTCTGTATTTCAGTTCTCTAATGAGGGTCAAAATTGCAGTGAGCTATCAACAAATTATGAACGGACTATAGAAAATGTCTTTGAATTTGCATCTAATGTTAGAAGTAGACGAATTCTAAGACATATTACCGAGACTGCATCCCCTTTTAGTGTTCACACTAGATATTGCTGAATCTCATAGTTAAAACTGTGAAAAATATTTATATAGAATGCATTAAAATTTTCAGGGAAAAATATTTTTGGTTTTTTATTTGTCCATAAATAAAAAAAGTATGACAAACTTCCAAAGAATGAAAGGAAGTAATCATAATGAAAAGAGAAATGAAAATTTCTATGTTTTTACCACTTTTACTATTTGTAAACTTTTTGTATAAGTTTGAGAATGTCCATATACGACGAAACTGCAGTAACGCTACTTACTTATGATAGTGGTAAAAAAAAGAAATTTTCATTTCTCTTTTCATTATGATCTCCTACCACGTAATAACGGCTACATCCATCAATTTATTGGAAGAAAGTAATCAACAACATTCATGAACAATTTTTAATATTGATAAAAATTATTTCATATCTTAAAGATATGTGTTGATCATACCCAGAAGTTTTTTTTCAGACATAAACTGAAGAGGAGTCCATCCGAAACAACCATTCGTGATGGACTTGAAACAGGTAACATTTACAGTAACGGTACACAATGTAATATATGAAAGAGTATTGATATGAAACTTCACTTACATGAAGAACATTCATTCTTCTGATGATGACTCAAAGACCAGTGTTTCCACTGGAAACTTTGAGGTACACCAGTAGAATGATTGTTTTTACAGGGTGTTTATTAAACACGCGGCAAAAAATTAAGGGACTATATTTTGGACTATTCTAAGGATATTTCGTCTTTTGATGGTTTTTAATAGAGCGCTTTGTTTCGAAGATACGGGGCGAAAAAGAATTTCGACAATAACAATTTTGGTATACTATATTTCGCTATACTTTTATTTCGTAGCCGAAATAAAAGTATAGCGTACTACACTGGACTTACCAAGTAATAAAAAATCTAACAAGACACTAGTTTATACTACTTCAATGGAAACTGTAGCAGATTTGAGAAATCGGATAATTGCTGGGTGTAACGCAATCAGAAACGATCCTGGTGTTTTTGAAAGTGTTCGGGAGTCGATGAGGAGAAGTTTGTATTCTTGCATAGGAGCAGAGAGTAGTCATTTTCAACACTTCTTGTAGATTAAGAAACATTACATGTAATTTTTGGTAATATTGTCGAAATTCTTTAGGAATAGTCCCTAAAAATGTTTGCCGCATGTTTAATAAACACCCTGTATATCACGTTGTATAGCGTTACTGTGAATTGTATCTATTTGGAATACTAAGTGAATAGGAAATGTTTTTGGTGTAATTCAATTATCATATATCCAAATATAATTGTTTTTTCCAGTTTGTATCTAACAGAAATATCTAAACATCTCTGTAAAGTTTCATTGATGTCCTTCCTACGAAGGTTTCCACGGAGGTTTCCAACACTGTTTTTATAAATGAATCTAATTCAGTATGTCCTTTAAATAATTAATGTTTTCATCATTTATCAAGGAACTATTAACATTTAATTCGTATTTCAGAAATATGTTTCCCCCGAATATTGTTGAAGCTTGTATCTTTCAGGTAAGTCATTATATAATATATATTTACTTCCACCGAATAAGCTGATAAACAGGAAACTGCACTAAAACTGTGACGCCATTACTGGAGCACTTAGAGAAATCACTCTCCAAGGTGACACAGTATTTTCCTAAATTTTAAAAACACAATCTATGAATACATTATCAAAAGTGACCGATCTTCAGAATAAAATGATGTCCAATGTAGTTCTCTACAAAAGCTCATTTAATTTTTAGAAGTATTTGTGTTTTCTTCTTCTTAGCTAGTGATTATTTTTCAACAATTAAATCTATTGCAATTTAATTGAAAGTAAGAATTAGCTTCCAGTTGATAATTGCCGATATGAATAGGTATTATAAACTATGAAAATATACATTAATTTTATATTATTTTATGTTTCCCATACATATTTCTTGAGAAAACATCAAAAAGGACATGTTTNTATGTGGTATTTCACATCATTTTACGCTTGAGGAAGCTATTGTGTAGCGAAACACGTGTCGCGGTTTTTGTAAAACCTTTTGTAGTGAAAATCATACGATAAACTATAGTTAAACTTCTAGTTAATTCTATAAACTTCTAGTTAATTCAGCAACTCAATTAGTATTCAATGATTGAAGCATTTATCTCGCTTTACGTTGTCTATTGCAATCAGTGCTTTCAGTATTCCCTACGAAACCCTGGTGTCCGAAAAGTCTTAGGACGGGCTAATATATCCGAAGTCTACGAAGACGGGAAAACAAAATTTCGACAATTACACAATATGAAGTTCCATTTGAAATTTTGGGGTACAGCCCCCTGGTGCCACCCCTGCAAGGGTGAACAAGTTACAAAAGCTTGAAGAAGTAGATTTTTTCAACATATGTAACTGCCAAATTTTCGTTTCCCTATATTCACAGACTTCGGATATATTAGCTCTTACTGAGACTTTTCGGACATCCACCCGTTCGAGATTTTTCATTCCATCCATTTCATGTCTATCAAAATATTCCTCAAATGTACAGTCTTTATAAATACTTGTTAACAACAGATACACGATTTTCAGATCTAACCAAGTTCCAAATCGACAAGGAGACAATCCAAAACACGAATATCTTAGGTCTGGTAGTCGTAGCGGCTGCACTAGGCATAGCTATTGCCCAGCTGGGAGAAGAAGCCCGTACTATGGCGAATTTTTTCCACAACCTTATGGCGGTCAGCATGAAGATCACCTCGTGGGTGATTTTCTTATCGCCTGTCGGTATTTTCTTCTTAGTAGCTTCCGAAGTATTACAGATGGACGATATCGGTAAAGTGATGGCATCTTTAGGATGGTATTTTTTTACTGTGTGCTTGGGTCTTGCGATTCAAGGCTTCGTGATACTGCCAATCCTCTATTTCCTTCTGACCCGAAAAAATCCCGTGAGGTTCATCCAGAACATGGGGGTGGCGATTGTAACGGCCTTTGGAACTGCTTCGAGGTAAGTCTGAGTCAGAACACACTTATATGCAAGCAACCCTGGAACAGCATATCTCGTTTTGTATAATAATCTGTGTCTATGTAGTTACCCAATAAACCGTCTCAGGAAGCTCATTCAGTCAGGACACCGTTTTGAAAGAGAAATTATTCTCAAAAAGTGTAGGTCAAGGTATATTGAGTTGAACTTTGAAGTGATGTGCAGGTGCATTTTGCCGAGTACTTTTTACATACTCGTATTCTGCCCTGAAATTATCTACAGAAAATAGTGACCAAGTTTCCCTCAAATGTTCCAGGCTATCAAGATTTCTTTTGATTTTTGGGTCTCCAATCAAGCAGATAGTTTTTTTAGTAGACTATATATTGTCACATGCACAGTGCAGTAGAATAAAGTAAATATTTCCTCCTAGGATGATTCTCCTCTTGGACTTTCGATATTTGGCAAAATAGCGTCATCCTTGATTGACCTTTTTTGACTTCAATATTAATATAATTAATTCTGATTGATTTAAATGAGTGGAAAGTGGACTTTATATGCACCCTTGGCGTTTTTCGGGAACAAACTTTTTTTTGGCTTTTGAATTTCAGCTTTGTACTATTTTTCAGTTTTTATCAATATGGGAATTTTGTATATAATTAATTGAGAAAGATTGAATGCTTTAATTTAAGCGCATGACAATATGAGTACCCTCGAGAGCCAGTATGTTAATTTGTGCTCATAACTGTATTTCAATGTCTTTCACATGCTTTTTAATTGTTACAAATACGGTAGTAACGCTGTGAGATATCAAATGGTCAATCTCGAACTCGACGCCAAGAAATAGAATATATTTTGTTCCTTTTTTAGATGCCCTAACTCAAACAATGTTATTGAAAATCAAAAGATATAGGTGAGAAAAAATTTTGGCTCTAAATCTAGACCAAATTTAGGATGAAAAAGCTATGCTCTTTTGACTGAAAACGAAACATTCAATTAATTACATGATTTTCAATTGCTGAAAGATTATCATTTATTTGATGTAGTTTCGAATGTCAATGTTGAGTGCCACTTGTAAATCTCATACTCAAGGTATTTTTGTATTTCATAATATTTACAATTAGAATGGGCCATGTTGAAATTTATTATGTTTGCTGCAATACACTTGTGATAATGAGAATATTAAAAATAATTGTTTGAAAATATATCTTGGGACATTATTGGTTCCAATTATCAATTGGTTATAATCGTTTACGATTTATGAAAAGTATCTTCTTTAAAGAAACAATTCGGAAATAAAAAAACACTTCAATATATTTCAATACAGTTTTTAATTATCTACAAGGCGCTTTAAATATATTCCGAAACCTCTAACAATGGTGTGTTGAATGCTCTGAATATTTTGATTCTTCCTCTGACCATAAACTCTATTTTTCAGTGTACCCCATGAGAATGTATCCATAACACTGAAGTTTGGAGACTTTGCTGGCCACCTTACTGGCTAATTATTCCCTATACATTTATCACCAAACCTTTCAGAACACAATGTCTAACTTACCTCATATATACCTCATTTATCAAATTTTCTTTAGTTTCCTGGTCCATTTTGTCTCCGTATTTTTTCCTTGGCTTTTCAAATGAACCAAACTCGGTGAGATTTTGATCCAATAACTTGTCCTAAAACTGTTTCTATCGTATTTGTAATAAATTTGTATCATACTTTTTTCTTCATTCGTGAAAGCCATTTTTCGCCAAAATTCAATGACTTGTACAATAACAAAATGTCATTGAGTGTAACAAATTGAAAGACAAATTTAGAAACATCAAAGTCAAAGCCTATTATGATAAGAATTATTTTTTTAATAACTCCAATTTTTCGAAAAAGAATGATAAATAATGATACATCGTTAAAAAGGTGAAATCTGAATCTATTCAAAACGAAAAGAATCCAAAGTAGTGCCCATAAAAAAAAAGTTGATGATGATGGCTGGAAGACACAACATCGGATGGCAAATCTGAAATAACTATTATATAGCAGAGAAAAAGTGGCAATGTGGAAGCGCAATTTATTTTCGAATCATTCGAAAAATGAAGCCAGAAAAAAATAAAAACCATTTTCCGAAATTTCTGTTTTTTCCGGATATCTCCGGATATACTCGGAATTTCAGAACTTTCTCAAAGACATATTGTTAGTCAGGTAAATGCGCAACTTTGCCCCAATTAAACAATCCTCGTATCTGTTTCCGAGATCCCAATGCTGAGGATCGAATTGGAAACACCCTGTATTATTCGTTTTAAGAACTGATTTCTTCTAAATCATGAATAAATATTTGTGGAAAGAACTTTCGTAAAGTTTCTCATTTGAAATTACTTTTATGTCGAAACATATTGAGTCGTTGTTGAGACTTCCAGATATAACCTTCGTCCTCGTAGTCAGTGCACATACCAATGATGATGACTGCCGCACTAGCAGACTTTAATCCCAGTGAATGTTGAAAAAAATAACAAAAAAGGTTATGAAAGCTGACAATATCGATCCAATACATTCTTATAATTTCTCTGGAACAAACAAATGAAATAATTCTTCACAGACCTCTAGCTGGATCATAACTAGAACACCGTAGAAAAACAGGCTGCCGGGACAAGAAATAAAAAAAGCTATGAAAGAAAGAAAATTAAATTAACAACAAAGAAAAAAAATTGCACAAAAAAACGTGTAAAGAAAAGAAATACTGGAAAAAATTGCTTTGACAAATGACGAATCTTCAGATTCTGCCTGTGATCTCATCTTTGATGACAATTCAGATATGAATATGGATGAAAGAAGTGATGACACCGACTGGTTGTTTACACTGTGTGGTGGTTCATAACTTCGAAAATATGCATGAAAAACAATATATAACATGTATGCAGTGCTTCAAGTGGTGTCACGAGGAATTTGCCAAAACTTCTCTATATGTGACTTTGGTTTTCCTATTTTAGAGTGCAGTTTACTCTCCAAG